CCTCTGATGACCGGCCCGGAAGCGGCCCCCGTGCTACCCTGATGCGCTGCGGCGGGTGGCGCCGGGATCGATGACGCGGCGGCGGCCGCCGCGGGCGGGCGTGCCCGGCGCCGCGGCCAGAGCAGCGCGCTTGCAGCGGCGGCGTCCCCGCGGCCGCGAGCCGGTTATTTAGTGCCCCCGCGTGGGAAACAGACGTGCCCGCCATCCGGGCGCTGGTAGCAGGTACAATTTCCGTCAGCCGCCGGCGGCGGCCGGAGATGAACGGCGCGCCCGCGGAGACGCCGCCGAGATTCGCTTCGCTCGCCTCGCGTCGGCGCTCGCCGCGACTGTTTGACGTCAATTATGTTGTTGCCACTCGGCCGGTCGGCCGCGCGCGGCTGTCAAGCCGTTTTTGCGCGCTCGGTCGCCAGCTCCGGAGACCGCCAGGCTGCCGGTGGCTGGCCACTGGGCGCTCCTGCCCAGATGCTATCGGCCTCCTCTCTATAAGAAGTAAACCCATAAAATACCGGCTGAGCGCAGCGTTAAAAAGGAGCTGGTCGACTTTAATTGGTAGTTTTTACATCGCTGAATATCATTAGCGCTTCGGGAGCCGCATAAATTGCGGACTGGCCGGCCGGCCGCGGCGCTCCGCGCGGCTGCGCCGCGTAGGCCGCTGCGCCGTATAAAACCATCGGGCGATGGCTGCCCTGCACGCCAGACCCCCATTCGCCGGCCACGAGCCGGGGGCCCGGCGTCTCCCACACGCCCAGCGGGGCTTGTCCGCAGGACAGGTGACACAGTGTCGCGCGACAAGCGCCGCGACAGTGGCCGCCAGGGTCGTGACAGGAGCCGCAAGGATCGCAACAGGAGCCGCCAGGGTCGCAACAGGAGCTGCTAGGGTCGTGACAGAGCCGTTAGGGTCATGACAGGGGCCGATGAAGGTCACGGCAGGGGTCGCTAGGGTCGCGGCAGGGCCCGCCGGAGCTCACGGCACGCCGCAGCCGGGCGCCCGTGGCCGGTGTCGGCGCCAGGTGGCGCCCTGGAGGTCGGCGCCGAGACGTCTCTCGGGCCGGCGGACTCGCTGCGGGCTGTCGCCTGCTCGCGCTGCAGCGGCCTTCCCCAGGTGTGCGCCGGCGTGCAGCCACCCGTCCCCTCCCCCTCTGACCGGTGCACCTGACGTGCCCGGCGGCGGGCGGGCGTCCCCCAGCCGTCGCGTCCCGTCGCGCGCCGGTTTGCGACAGCCCGGGGCGCACGTGCGGTCCGTTAACGACGCATTAACGGGCGTCGGTTATTGACTCCGGGCGACGCGCGGCTGCAGAGCGGGGACGGCCCGTGCCACGCCGCGGTGTCGCCGGCGACGCTCCCCTCCGCGGCCCGGGGGCGCTCGTCAGGCGGCTCTACGGGAGCCGGGAGCCGGGAGCCGGGGCGGTGCGGCCCACCGCCGGTCGGACGGCTCCCATCACCCCGCGCCGGCGGCGTCAGAGCCGAGCAGCCCCGCCAAAACCCGCTCCCTGTCGCGCCAATAAACCATTACGCGCGGCCGCATTGATATCACGTATTCATGGGTTTGCCGGGCGGACGCGCGCCGCTCCGGTAATTACGCGGCGCGCAGCGCCACACTGCGACTGTTTATTGGCCGCATATTCGATGGATATAAGTATGTTATTAGGAAGCGGATAGCACGAGGTCAGCACGGTTCAGCGGCGGCGGCGCGGCGGGAGGCTGCCGGGCGCAGCCGTGCCGTCAGCCGCCCGCAGCCTGTGTGGAGATGCGTCCGGCGATACGGCCCAAGTGCGGCGGTTGGCGCGTTTTTGCGCGCGGCGAAATGGAAAAGCGAGCATGACGAGCCGCTGACAGCGCCGCGCTGCAACAAAAAGCGGCGAATCGAGTGCGCGTCGGTGGCGGCGCGGCGGCGCGGCGGCGCGCGCGCATCATTACGGCGCGTCTGATGGAGTGACCGCGATGGCGGGATAGCGGCCGGCGGGCGATCAGAGGCGGCGCCGGCGGGGGGCGCCGCCGCCGGCGGGGGGCTGCCTCCGCCCCTGCGCGGCCGGCTCGGATGACGAGTTATGACCCCGCCCGGCCGCAAACAAGCGCAGGCCGATCGCAGATGACGATTAGATCTCGGCCCGGCCACCGCTCGGAATGCCGGCAAGAAAACAGCGCGGGGTGACACTTCATCCGTCTGGGGCACTCGGCCGTCGCCGAGCAGCGGCGTTTTTCCGGCGGGGCACCGCGATTGTGCGCCCCTCACCGCGGCGGGCGCTGCGTTTGACCAGACCGGGTGAATGTCACGCGCGCTGCAGCGGCGGATACCGGCGGCGGCGGCGGCGTGTATTGTCTGGCCATTACCGTCATTACCGGCTGCCGTAGCCGGCAATTGCTTCGAATTTTGTCGAATAAAAATGCGGCGCGGCCGTAAAGCGCCGATAAGAAGTCGCGACGACGCGCCCGGTGGAGGCGGCCGCCCCTCATCGGCCGCCATTACGGCCATTGTGGCCCGACCCGGGCGCCGACCCGTGCCCCCGTGGGAACCCCGGCGGCCTGGCCGACGGCCGCCGCCGCTCGGCTCCGCCCGCGCCGGCCGCATACATTACCGATGCCGATGGTGGGCTGATCGGACCTCGCGACGGCTGCGTTGTCGGCACCGCGGAACCGTAGAGGTCGACACCGCCGCACCGTCGGAGCGGCGTGGCTGGGCCGCCGTCGAGACGTGGCGGTAGCGGCCGCCGCGTGCCGTCGTTGCATGGGCCGACGCCGTTTGCGGGCGGCGCATGTGCTGTCGATGATACCTGACCCCGACGAGAGGCAGGCCTGATCCATTGATCCGCTTTCGATAGTCATGGTCCGGCCGGCCGACTGGCGGGTCAGTTGCGAAATCGGGTGCTGAGAACTGCCCTGCATCCAGGTTCATGCATTTATAAGGCGTACCGAGACGGCGCACCGCGCGCCTGCTGCCTCGTTATATAACTGGGTTACATCAGCGGGCGGTGGAGGCCGCGCGAGGCGGCGGCGCGGCGCCGCGCGGCGTGCCTCTCTAAGCCCGGCTGCATTGGGGGCGATTAGCGAAGAGTTTGCATCCGCCGTGACTGCCGCGCGCCACCTGATCCCTGTGGGAGCCGGGCGGACCGCGAAGGCCGCGCTTCCGCGGCGCAGGCGGCTCGGATCCGGCCTGGATCTGTCTGCACTTGCAGCGCGGTGGAGGAGGGGGGAGGGGGGGGGGGAGACGAATGCGGAGAGACGGCGCCGAGACGGGGTCGACCGGCATTCTCCGCCGTTGGCCCTGGGCCGAGGCGGGGCGCCGCGCGGCGCTACCGCCGAATCGGCGACGCTCGAAGGCCGCTGGCTCTAATTCGCGGCGTTGCCGCCTGTCGGCGAACGCCATGAGAAAATCGCGCCACGTCTGTCCCACGAGTTGGAATGCGTGGCGCTGGATGTTGCATGCCTGTGGGGGCGGCTGCCGTCTGCGCTCGGCAGCAACGGCGCGCTGCGCGTTCTTCTTGTCGCTAGATATGTTAGGATCCCAATGACTCGGTTACCCAATTACCCTGTGTTTACCAGGTTTTTACGGCGCGCGACAGTTGTTCCAATGTCACCCCGCCGCCGTCTGCGCGGCTATTTCTGCACTGAGCACCACGGCGCATTTGTCTCCCCCGCGCCGCCAATTGTCTTACGCAGCTGTTGCGGCCCGAGCGTGGTTCCCCTTTATTGTCGCCAGAACGGTCGGAATTTTACGGGATGTCCCGCGATCCGGCGTCGCTGCGCTTTAAGCGGCGCCGGAAGCGCGTTTTTGCCGCGCCACCCCCGCGGAAAACTGAGGGGAGAGGGGGCAGGAGCGCCGGCCGTCATCTCCGGCCGAGACGTCCCAGCCGGCCGTGTCGTCGTGCCGCGTGGGGAGCACGTGTCGCACGTGGCGCATGGGACGGCGCCACGTGCCGACGTGTAGTTTTGCGTCAGGTTTGGTCAGAGCTGTTGTGGCGTTCGGGCAATTTCCAGGACGATGTTTCCGAGAAAAAGGCTTACGTCACGTTGAGGCTTGAGGCCGGCTTTTTCTATTTCAGGCCTCGTGGGTTTCAGGAATCCGAATTTAGGTGAATTTGCAGTTTCTGTAATCCACCTATCCGACCCAATACTTAGCCGCAGAAGCTCCTGCCGCTTTGTGGCCGGATAGCTAAGCGATGACGGCCTCGGGACGTTACGCCGGGCCTGGCTCGGGTTTCCTCGGCGGCCGTGCCGCGGCCCGGCGCCGCTCAGGACGAATAGCCCGCCCGGCAGCCGCTGCCGTCGCCCGGCGCGACGGATCGCCGCCGCCGCCGCCGCTGACGGCGCTCCCGCTCTCCGGCCGCCGCCGGTGTCGATTTCGCGCCACAAAGGCCGCCCTGACTGTTGACGAATGCGGCGAGGAGCGGCGCCGGCAGGCCGGGCCGCCGGACGGGCGCGGCAGCCGGCGCTGTCGTACACGACACGGACGTGTCCGACACGCCGCCGCCGGGCTGACGCCGCCGAGTCCGCCGCGTATCTCGGCCCCATCGCCGCCCGGCAGGGTGAACAGGTCGGCCGTCGTTAGCAGCACCGGACGTGGGAACGGTGCGGCCGTCTCGACGCCGGCGGCTGCTCGGCGCCGGCGCCGGCGCGCGACGAGACGAGCCATGAGGCCCGGACGGCGCGCGCTGTGCCGCCGCCCCTGCCGGCGCGCGGTGCACTGCACCCGCGGCCTCGCCTGATCCCGCGCCCGGTTATTAATCGCCGGGTCATGCGTCAGCTCTGCGGAGGTCACCGGCTCGGCGACCGGCGCCGGCTGACCGATTACCCTGGCCGACTGCCGGGCCACGTGTAATGAACTTGACACGGGTAATCCGGGCCTTTTTCGGGCGCGATCGGCCGCCCGCCGTCAGCACCGGTTCCCGACGTCTTCGCCCCACGAGCCGCCGGCCGCCGCGGCCGTGCCGCCCGCGGTAATCGGCTCACCGCCGGATCGAGAGTCCCGGTGCCGGCGCTGACGCAGGCCTCCCTGTTTGCAGAGGTACTTCACGCTCATCCTGGAGGCGCTGGACAACGTCGGCGGGCAGCAAGGTAAGCCGGCCAGACGGGGCACTGGAGCGTCGACCGTCCGCCGTTCGCTGCGGTCTCGCCCCCCGCAACTGGGACGGCGACCCGGCGTGCCCCCACGAGCGAGCGCCGCTGTGGCGGACCAAGGGTCGCCAGCCGCGCGCGAGGCGAAAACGCCGACCAGCACGCGGCTGAAGCTAATCCCTCGGACGGCCTGCCGAGGCCTGCGCTTTCCCTGAAGCGATGCGCGCTATCATGTTTCGCTGAACAGATGGCCGACAACCCCGCGCCTGGTTCCGGGTGGGCTTAACAGCGCTGCGGATCCAAGCCCGCCTCCGCGCCTCCTGCTCCCGTTAAGTAGCCGTCGCTCGCTGGCGCCCGTCAAGTCAAACCCTTTGAGCCCGCGAGCGGCCCGCGCGCGCGTCCTCTCGCGCCACGTCTTCGGACGCGCTGCAGCTGCCGCGGCGGCGGTCGTGACACGGCCGGCACGATCGCGGCTGACTGGCGGCAGTTCCGGCGCGCCATTCAGCAGCGCACAAAGCGCGGAATGTGTCCCCGCGCCGCCGCGTAATTGGAACGACATGTGCCTCGTCATCTTTGCCTTCGCCGCCGCCGCCGCTGCCGCTGCTAATTTCCCGCGATTGGCTGAGATCGACCGGTCAGTGGTGGCCGCGGCGCGCGTGTCCGCGTGTCCGCGTGTCCGGCTCGGGGTCCTTCTCTGCGGTCAGCGGCGGTGACGGATGTGAGAGGACGCATTCTTCGCGGCCGCCGGCTGCTCATTAGAAAGAGCCGGGATTAGTCAGCCGGCTGGCACTTCCGACAAGTGTGTCATCCGATCCGGCACATGCTGGACGGGCTGGCCTGACTGGATTCGACACAACCCGACCCGATCCGGCCTCACCGGAACTGAGACACCAGTACCTGATGACCAGATGACCTAATCATTGTGGCCTGATGTACGCATCTTGATCCCTGTTGGCCAGCGTCCGACCCGGCTTGACCTGACTTGACGCAGTGACTCGAGTCGACGACTCGACTCGGCTTGCCCTCGACGACTCGACGCAACGTGGCTGATCCGCCTGGATTGGTCAGGAATCTCATGTGGCAGAACAGCATCTGCTCAATTCAAAGTTCTGTCGAACCCGACATTTGCTGACCTCACGCGGACCGACCGGGCAAAACAGACCAAACTGACCCGTGTGATCTTACCCGACCCGCCAGCCTGACCTGAGCCAGCCTTATTCGATTTATTCGACTTATTTGACTCAGGACTTATTCGAACGAAGCCTGGACTGCCACGACAGCTGTCCCCTGGTCTGACGCCGTCTAACCCGGCGTGGCCTGCCCGCAGCGACGGAGGTGATCGAGCAAACCTCGTACTCGGGCATCATCCGGCCTTCGAGCGCCTGGCACACGCTCACCCACAACGGCAACGCCGCCAAGATCACTTACCGCATCCGCGTGCAGTGCGACGACAACTACTTCAACAGCACGTGCACCAAGCTGTGTCGGCCGCGCGATGATCAGTTCGGTCACTACACCTGCAACAGCAACGGGGACAAGGTCTGCCGGGATGGCTGGATGGGCACCAACTGCGAGACAGGTGAGGCCTGCAGGAGATGGAGGCGTTGGGGGTGCTGCAGGGCCTGGGGACAGGACAAGGGAAGCTTTTAGTGAATATGGGTTTCGTTTTAGATCGTGGAACGCATGTCAACTTCGAGGTCCGAATCGAGGCTCTTGCTACAGATAAAGGCACATTTTTCATAGTCTTTGCATAGATGTCACTTTAGGGGATAAGTCTAGGCACCTGCGTCTTCTTTTCCAGTCCAGCGTTTGTGTGTGTGTGTGTGTGTGTGTGAGTGTTGTGCGGTCGCCTTTGAGACCCTTACTCCAGACCCTCAACCACCGCCGATCACAGCCGAGAGCCGCGTGTTTGCCGTGCGCCGCCTTCATCCCTTGTGCGGCGCGGCGACGCAGCGCGCCTCGAGGGCCGGTGATGGCCACTCGCGGGCCCTGCGCCCGGCGTGCCCCGACCTCGGTCACCGCCCGACAATCGCCGTCTAATTGCCCGCTGTCGGTGTCGATCAGCTGGCGCGGCCGGCCGTCGCGCGCGCCCGCTCACGCTGTCCTCCGTTGCAGCCATCTGCAAGAAGGGCTGTCACCCGGTGAATGGGCACTGCGACCGGCCGCAGGAGTGCAGGTACGTGGCGCGCCCATAGGGGCGGCGGCGACGGCGGCGGCGGATCTGTCTAGCGCCGTCCGCCCCCGGGTCAGCACCGGACGCCGCTGGCAGCTCTGGCGGGCGGGCCGGCCGACCGGCGCCGAGGGGCCCCGCCCGCGCTGGAGAGGTTTAACAGTTTACCGCAGCGGCGACCATCTGGTGTTTGCTGATAACGCTGATTAAGCGGCGACCTTTGCGCCGATCAATAGCGCAGGGTGGCGACCGTTCGGCTGGCGACCGGACGACGAGTGGTCTTTTGCGCCGTACTGATACCCGCCAGGGCAGCAGCCTGGACCGTCACCCCCTCTCCACCCTATCTCCTTGCTATCAGAAGCCGGCAAACACGACCGCCAGACCAAACAGTGATTGGACCGGACACACCTGGCGCAATGATCATATTAATCTGAAGCCCCACGGCGCAGGATGCGCGAAGTCCCGCAAAAAGGCCGGCATTGTGGCCACGGGTGAGAATCCCCACCGATGGTGCCCAGTCATGATCGCGCGGAAAAATATTGTGTTTCTGCCGTCTGTCCCGCAAAAACCGCGGCAGTGGCGCTGGCAGGCGCCAGCCACAAAAACAGCAGCCACCGGCGTTGACAATGGGCCGGCTAAAGCTGTGACGAAAGCGACATGACTTCTGCGCAGGCTGGTGCCAGTTACCGCCCAGCAGAGTCGGAGCGAGTCGGATTGTTATACTTCTTCAAGAACGCGCACTTCATTCTTCATCTGGCACCGCTGTCTCCTAGCCGACCGCTACACCAGAGGCCTCTCTCCAACAGCCCATCCCAACGGGTGCCCTGCATCCACCTCGGCTTCGGCACCGCCCCTCCGCGCCAGACAAAAACCTCCGAAACAGTCGTACCCGCAGCCGAAACGTCGGAGTCACTTTACGCGGCCGCGCCGGCGGAGTCGACGCTGCCGATGGTATCGACGCGGCGCGGGCGCGGCGCCGGCCCGTGTCGCTTTTTGCGGCGATCGCGGCGCGTCGACAGCCGCCCGGCGCCGCCCGCCGCGCCGCGTTTGCCGGATGCAGGGCACGTTGCGATGGGGCCGATAGGAGCCGCCGTCGGCGCTTAATGAGATGAGTGGACTGCCGACGGCCGCCCCTGCCCCGCCTCCTCCGCACCGAGGCCCAGGTCCCCGGGGGATGACGACTGGGTCACGTTTAGCGGGCGCCCAGTTGCGGCGGGTGGACGACTGCGTCTTTTTCGATGGGTTTCTGAACGACCTTGCGTTGTCGGCTCGCCGCAGACCGGCGGCACCGGAGCGCTGTGTTAAAAATGTGCCGACATGGCATTAAAGCTGCTTTTCGCGATATGTTTTTTTGGAATGCTTCTGATGTCGTGTTGCAACAACGAGACATTGCCGTCCGAGTTCGCTGGAGACGGGCGTCCGACTCTCTTCGCTTCCCACGAGTCTGAGTGCGGTCCGGCTGGTTGCGACGCGTTATTCCGGTCGGGCGTGCGATGAGTCAGCGCTGGGCTGAATCACCCGATCTTCCAGTCCGGTGGCGAGATGTAGCGTCATCACCGCACCCAGCTTCGCCCGGCCTTCTTCGCGGCTGGGAAAGGGCTGTCGTGCGTGTTTGGCGCCGCCGCGCGTCGGCAGGGGTCGCTCAGTGCTGCTGGCTGTGACCCGCCGCCGTCATGGCCGTGCTTCATCGCTCCCCGATCGACGTGGTGGCGCCGCCGCATACCGGACCGTCGCCAAACCCCGGCCGATACCGCGTCCGGGCCCATAGGAGCCTCCCGGACCGCAGCCGGCGGCGAGACACCTGTCGCAGCTGCGCTCTTCCAGCCGTCTCTGCCCCCCCCCCCCCTGCCCGATTGGCAGGCGCGTGGCCCCGCGGCCGTCGCCCTGGGCGCGCCCGTGGCCGGTGCCGTGGGAGCCGCGCGTGAGAGCCGTGCCGGCCGTGGCGTGAGTCAGCGGCGGGTCGGCCCGACCGGCCGCTGCGCCTCGGCCGACCACGCCAGCCGGGCACGGCTGCGTCACGGCAACGATGGTATCCAGGGCGCCACCGCCCGGACTCACGCCCCTCGCCAGTCTCCACCTGTACCTTCGCGCCGGTAGTCCCGGGGCCTCCCCATTCTCCACCCGTACCTCCGCACCGGTAGTCCCCGGCTGGGTGTGTCAGTCACCAGCCTCCCCAGTCTCCACCCGTACCTTCGCACCGGTAGTCCCCGGCTGGGTGTGTTAGTCACCAGCCTCCCCAGTCTCCACCTGTACCTTCGCACCGGTAGTCCCCGGCTGAGTGTGTCGGACGCCAGCCGGTGTGCTTCACGGGACAGTAGCGGACCTCGATCACCGCATGGCGCGAAATCGGCGTTCAAACCCTTCCAGCAGCTCCGAGCGTGCGGCAGGTGTCCTGGGTCCGCTTCGGCAGCCAATCACGGGCCGCGCAGCCCAGCCAGGACGTCCGGGGCTGCTGGCGGCGCGTGATGGGACTGCCGAGCGACCGGAGTGCTGACGACACCTCGCCGGCGCGGCGACACCCGCCGTTGACGGCTCTGACGCGTAGGCCCTGCCGACCGGCGCATGCAGATGGCCGGCCGGCCGGGCGACGCGCGCCTAATCCGTCCGCGACAAATCGCCACCGCGCGCGCGCGATGCATTTATTTATGAGCCGCGCGCGCCGCCGGCGGTCGCGCGCCGATGACTCTATCGCGCGCCGCGACGGTCGCGCGTGGGCGGGCGCGCCAAACGCGGCGCGACGCGACGGCGGCGGCCGGCGGTAATTGTGCGCGGGCGGCGGCGGCGCCCGCTATCGCAGAGCCGCCTGTTTGTTTAGGTCGCTCCCATGTAGGAGATGGAGCGATTGGCCGCGGCCGCCGGGCTGTGTAGCTAATAATTGACTACCTAATTATTGAGTACACGGATTCCGCGGAAGATGGCGTGATAGTGCGCAGGGCCATTAATCTTGACCCGGGAACGACTGGATGGAAATAATCACCCGAAGCGCCATCTTCGAAGCGGCCTCCACCGGGCCTTCGCCTCCGCTCGTGTGTATGTGTGTGTGTGCGCGTACGATTCATGTTTGCGTCAGCGTTCCTGAGCAGGGTTTTGAAATTGGTGGCTGATCTTAAAGATCCAGTTGAGAGCCCGATGCTCAGATTAGGTAGTCGTAATCGGCTGAGTGGAGCAAATTTGGGCGGGGGCGTCGGGGCCAGCCGCAAGTGACCTAAATCCCACAGCGCAACCCCGTTTAGCCGGAGCGGCTTCCGAGGGCCCGGTCCGGGCTGATGCTTCGCTGGCCCTGCTCTTCACCCGCTGTATCCGTAAGGGAGATACGTACGTAAACGTGATGTCCACGATATCGCGTGGATATCCATCATTATCTGTACATACACACGAGCGGAGGCGAGGGCCCGGTGGGGGCCGCCTCGAAGATGGCGCTTCAGGTGATTATTTCCTTCCAGTCGTTCCCGGGTCAAGATTAATACGCGATATCCGCGATATCCCGCAGCAGGCCGGGAGGGACATAGTCGGCGTCCCTCCCGGCCTGCCGTCGGTCTCCAGTGACTCAGCTGCCTCCACATCTGTATCTCTTGTTGCGCAGCGCTCGGGTTTCCCCTGTTCCCACCTGTCCAGAGTCTGAGTGAGCTCCAGTATCTTGCGGGCGCCTGCCCGAGGTTGGCAGCCACTCTGCACCGAGATAGCCTCTGTCTGACCGAGCGCCAGTGCCTCGCCTGCGCCTCCGGCTGCCCCGCCGACATGTCTGGAGTGTCGCCGCCTTCTCGCGCGCCCGTAACCGTGACATGTGGCGATGGCGGCCGCGATGCTATTTAATTAAGCGATTGTAACTCAAATGCAATCGTCCTAATGGGGGTGTAAAGTGCGATGGCCATACCGTTCGTCAACCGCCTAAGGACAGGGGGTGGGGCGGGGAGGGTCAGGTATCAGCATGCATCGGGGGGGGGGGGGGGAGGTCCGGTATGGGTTATCAGGGGCGTGGCCATCACCCCGGTCCCCGAGGCGCGAGCACCACGGCTGAAGTATGTCTCTTGCCGTCACGCGCCGTGTGTATTTGGCGGCGAACACCGTGCACGTCTTGTCATGCGCTCTGCTCGCGTGTAAACGCGTGTAGCACGCCCAGTAACAGCAAAGCCTGTGGCGTGTGCCCTGCCTGTTGGAGTCGGCAACAGCGCTTTTGCGTGCATAGCATGCGTGCGGTAGGGCCGTAACCTGTAAACGTTCCTAGCATGGAACGCTGATCCGACGGGGCGCGAGCGGGATGTTCCCGCCCCGTCACGAGCCGAGCCTGACAGCGCGTTTCCGTTTCAGGTGCGAGCCCGGCTGGCGGGGCGAGTTCTGCGACGAGTGCCTGCCCTACCCCGGCTGCAAGCACGGCTTCTGCAACGGCAAGCCGTGGCTGTGCAACTGCGAGCTGAACTGGGGCGGCATTCTCTGCGAGCAAGGTGACACTGCCGCTCGACCGGGCGCCGACGCGTGTGTGGCCGCCGGCCGCGAGTTAGTCGCAGCCGCGGCTGTAAACACTCGGCAGGGGCTGCCGTGTGGCTCGACTCTGGCGACGGCGATGGTCGGATAGATTGCTTTCTGATGGGCGCAATAAGGTGTAGCGTTACGGTGTGCCGGTGTCGCCGAGCCGGCGGTAACCCGTGGTCACGGCGGGCGCCGGGGATGCGGCGGGGATGAGAGCGAGCGGGGATGCGGCGGAGATGGGAGGGAGCGGGGATTCAGCAGGGTGACATCACTTGCTCCTCGAGCAGCAGCTGTGGTGCTCTGCGCTCGTGTTATCTGCGCTGAGAGGCCCACAACCGCCGCGCTGTTTTATTGGCACTCTCCGGAGCGGAGGACGCCTCGGCCCAGACGTCATGCGGCTCGAGAACAATGCTCGGCGGCTGGCCGGCTGACAGCTTTGTCATGGCGTGGGCGGGCGGCGGCGGCGTCAAAGGGTGGCTGGCGGCGCGCTCCAGTGCCGTCGGGCGCTGGGTCGTCCCGCCGTCGGGGGCCGGGCTCATGGGACGCGGCAGCGGGGCGGGGCCGTCGATGGAGCGGGATGACGTGGGCGATGGTGCGAATTCATCCGGCCTCCGCTCAGCTATTCATAGGCCGCTCGCGCACCCCGTGCGTGGACCACGGCGGGCCATTGTAAGCCCATTTGGAGTCCCGCGGGGCGGAGCGGGCACCAGGAGGGCCCGCGGTGCCGGTTTGAATTATGACAGTGTTATGGGATTAGCCACGGAGAGGGGGAGAGGACGTCATTGGTCAGCCCGCGATATCAAACTGGGAGGTCTCGTAATTTGTCCTTCGGCAAGGCTAGTGATCAGCTCAACTGGTTTCGTGGACGCTCTCGGAATGGCTCGGAAAAGGCTGCTTTGTAGCTCCCGCTACGAGCATCTGTCGTCTTCCAAGTCATCTCAACAATTCCAGCATCGGCTAGCTTAGCTAACCACAAAATGAAGCGCGGGAGATCTATCAAGTACCCGAGGGAGGGTTTTACCGCCATTCACCGATGGGGTGGAGCTTCATGAATAGCCGATAATTAAGTTTAAGCCCACTCTTCCGTATGGCGTATTCCACCTAATCCCGCGGGGACGGGGGCAGATCGTTTTAACCCAAATGTGCAAAACAGTCAAATTCGGTTTGTGCCGCTCGTGGTCGGATTTCGCCGGGCGTTTTCCGTCGATCGCGGCGAACAGATGTGCGGCCGTTCGACGCACGGCCGCCCTCCCTAGCGACGGCGCGCCGCCGGTAATAATTTCGATGGCTCATCGGATGATCTCACAGCTGCCGGCCGCAGACGGGGCCGGGGTCGGGGTGGGGCCGATCTGGACCACTATTTATTCGGCACAGACGGGGCCCCGGTTCAGGGGCCGTAAATTGACGCCCAGCCGAGTGACGCACCGATCATGGCCGGTCGGTCGAGGCCGTTCCGACTGGCCGCCGCCGATCGGCCCGGCGCTGACAGGGACACCGCGGGGACCCTCTCGACCGGTCTTCACTCGCGGCCGGGGTCGCGCCCCCGCCGGCGTCGTTTGCCAAATTGACACGTTTTGGAGTGTCCCGCGGCGACGTTTAGGAGGCGACGTCGGCGGCGGGCCGCACGCGCTCGGGTCCAGTTCCGGCGGCGCCACCGAAAATATTCGCCCGTGATAAACGAGCCGCCTTTAATTATGTCTCCCGCTGTTCACAGCAACCCGACTATGCGCGTGATCCAACAATAATCACGGCTTTGTTGTGGCCGTTTGTAATTACGTCACGCGGGCGGGGATGCGCCCGCCGGCCCCGAGAGACCGCAACGCTCTCGTTCCGACGGCCTCGAACACCGGGAGACTGTGACGCAGGCTCCGAAGATAGCCGGCCCGGTCGGGACCCGCCCTTTCCCATCCCGGGCTGAGCTACGGTCCGATCAAGTACTATAAATAATCGTCATTGAAAAGGTAGCTGTAACCGTTGGCTCGTAAAACAAGCCGAACCAGGACCGGGCCGGCCACTGCATTGTTAGTCGAGGCTGCACATGCCGACGTATGTATTTTATGCGGCCGCGGCTGATTGTCTTCGCCGCGGCTGTCATCGGCGCACTTAACGGCGGGGACGCAGCATGCGGCATTGTTTAGGGCTGTGGAAAAAATTGCAGCTGGCGGATCGTGCTGCAGCCGCTGACTTGCCGGTTACGCGAACAATGTGCGAGCTTTCGCCATGGGAGGCGGCGCCTTCTCAGCGGCCGCGACCGGCGATTGGATCCGCGCGGCGGGCGACGGCGGCCGACTCTGCAGCAGCACCGCCTGCACGCTGCGTCACGTTTGTTTTGCCGGCGAGCCGCGTCGCGCCGGGCTTGGACACGGCCTTCTCACACCTGCGCCTTGCTGACGGGGCGGCGCGCGGCCGCCAGCCGCCACGCCGTGACGTGCTGCCGCCGTCGCCAGCGCGCCGGCCGGAAAACCGGCACGAAGCTGTTTGCTCATGGCCTCGCGGACACGCTTCAGTCTGCAGCTTTCCCGTCGTTCGCGGCGCTGCACGTGGTGTTCTGCGTCGCCACGGCTGACCCTCTGACCCCGCTGACCTCTGACCTCTCCACTGCAGACCTCAACTACTGCGGCACGCACGAGCCGTGTGTCAACGGCGGCACGTGCGAGAACACCCGACCGGACGAGTACCGCTGCACGTGCCCCGAGGGCTTCTCCGGTGACAACTGCCAGGTGGTGGACAACCCGTGCGCCACGGGCCCGTGCCAGCACGGCGGCACGTGCATCGACATGAGCGGCGACTTCCAGTGCTCCTGCCCGTCCGGATGGTCCGGCGAACGCTGCCAGATCAGTAAGTCCTCGAGGATGGCTCCGGCTGTCGCGCGTGTGACCTGCTGTTCGTCGGGTGTCAGTGACGGATGGCCGAGGGGGAATACGCCTCGTCGCCGACCGCGGCTGGCGGCGGCGCGGCCTCACCGCGTTGAGGAAAAGGCCTTGAGCGCGTCTTCGTTTTCGGCGCGCCCGACGAGGAATGCAACCCAACAACGAGAAAGCGGCGCGCTTGATTGGTGGCTGGCGCCGGCCGTTATAATGGCGCGTCCATCAGTCCAGCCGCCACCCGTGGCGGCGGCTCGGGAGCGGGAACGCATCGCCCTTGATGGCTTCGATCCGGACCCGGCCGCCGCCCAATAACAGGGCAGCGGCCGGCGCGGCCGGCACGGCGCGGCGTCGGCAAACCCGCCGCATTAAAAGAAGACGGAGAGCGACGTTTGCGAGGCGCGGCGCCGCGCGACGCACCGACCCGCTGATTTTACGCGCGGCGACCGCTGGCGCGTGCGTGGCTTAATTTAGTGGCGACGAGTGAATGCGATGGTCGGCGCGCGGTTTCGGCGCACCGCGAGCGGCGCCTTTACAGCCGCGGCGTGCTGAGACAAAAACGGCGCGCTGGCGCGAGCGGCGCACCGCCGAGTCACAGCGCTCACCGACCAAGCGTGCCGCACATTTCTGCCGCAGCACCACCGCCTGGTGGCCGGCGCAGGCGCCGTGACCGGAAGGGTCGCCGGTCGGACATCTCCGGCCGGCGACGCCTTCACCCCCGCCGCCGGCCTCCGCCCGATCAGGAGCCGTGATGAGAGCGACCGGGCGTCGGCGGCGCCGCCGAGCGCCGCCCGATGACGGCCATTACGGCGGCCCTAATGACGCGATCGTGGCGCGGTGGCAGCACCGCCCGGCTGCCAGACGCGGTAATAGGGGGAAATCGGCGCCGGTGAGGACGCTTTCTCACGAACCCCTTCGGCCGGCGACGGCGGCCCGCCGATTAACGCTCGCGCTCGCCGATCGGTTCATTGTTTTGGGGTGGCTGCGGTGAATTTGTGCCTCGTGCGGCGAACGGGCGGTGCTGTGTTCGCCGCTCCGGCGGCTTAGACGCCGCCGACGGTGCAGCCACCGCGCACAATGTTAACAGTCGATAAACCGCGGCTCAGCTGACGCATCGCCCTGTAAAACACACCGATATCGCGGCGGTGATCGCTGTCGTCTGCGCCGAACGGTGGGTAGCGGTCAGAGCGCGCGCCACGGGCCCACCTCTGTTTTAGACTCACCGGCCGTCGATCCTATAATTGCCGCTCGCACCGGCTGTAAACTGTACAACACGGGGTTTACAGCCCTCTATTCTCATGCTAGGAATGCTTGGGAATTGTCTGAGTGAATTAAATCCGTTCGGTCTCGGCGCAGCGGAGGTCCATCCTCGCCGGGCATTCAAACGCCCGGTCACCGCGCACCCACTAAATCCGGAATATAATGCAAAGTAATGAATCACGAACTGCGGCGAGGGAGGAGTGCAGCGCGCCAAATTACAGCTCCATGCGACCGCGGCCCCATTACGCTCCGATCGGAGTTTATTCAATGCAGCCCCCGCGCATAGTTGGGTTTTTACTGCACTGCAGCGCACAGAGGCCGCCGGTAACCTCTTATTAGGAAACCCTTTTAATTTATCCCGCGGCCGTCGCATTCGGGTGGCCTCCGCCTCATTAGAGTCGATGACTGGGTCTTCTGGCGCTTCTGCGCAAACAGGCGGCGCGGGTGACTGATTCAGCGTCATGACTGGCCGGCGCGGGGCGGCTGACCCAGGGTGACCGCGCCCGGTCGCAGCCGCCTGCGCTGCTCCAAACAATACCGCTGTTTTTCGGACCGCGCGCCGAGGGTTTTTGCGTGAGTTCGCGTCTAATGAGAGCTCAGGGCCGCCGACGCTTCTATTGGCCTCGTCAGCGCCTCTATTGGCCGTTAATTGAATCAACCGAGCGCCGGCCGCTCCACGCGATCGGGCGGCGGGCGCGGCGCACCGAACTTAGAGCGACGCACGCGGGGCGCTGTCGTGAAGGCGGCGTACGTGGCGCGCCGACAACGGGCGGCGCCCGCGGCATGCCTCGCCTCGCCAGCATGACAACATTCTACGCGCCTTCCGCGGGCGGCGGCTGCGGACGTTGACAAGCCGTCGACACTGTTTGCCCGGCCCTTTAGCGCCCTGTGTTCAAAGGATTATGAGCGGAAGCGAAACGCACGTTGGCTCGAGGCAAACAGCACGGCGCTCGCCCCCGCCCGCCGCTAACCCCGCGCCCGCGTGTTCCAGACGTCAACGAGTGCGAGTCGTTGCCCTGCATGCACGGCGGCACGTGTGAGGACCTGGTCGACGGCTTCAAGTGCACGTGCCCGCACGGCTGGGAGGGCAACGCCTGCCAGCTCGGTAGGTCGCCGGCGGCGCCGCCCGCCACGTGATTGGCTCCTGACAGCTGCTGATGGGCTGCCGGCGGTCGATCAGCCGTCAGCCGGCCGGCTGCTCGGCCGACGGTAGCGGCGTGTGTGAGAGAGCGTCCCCGGTAGCGGTAAACGACCGGCGGCCGGGTCGAGTGTTACGGTAACACGGCGGCGCGCGAGGGAGGCCCGAGTCAACAGGGGGCGCTCCGGGGCGGGTTCTTTGTGGCCGAGACCGACCGTGTGCGCTGAGATGGATGCCGATCGCCGGTCTGGCGGCTCGAGCGAAGCTTTGTGTGCAGCCGGGTACCGTTTGTCGGATCGTGGGGCGCAGGGGCTGTTGACGATTAACGTGGTTTCTTTGCTCGGGAGATGAAGATCATGATGGCAATGGCGACGATGTCCATGTTGATGACGTCGAAGATAATGATGATGATGACGATGATAATGGTGATTTATTGCCATGACGGCAGCGTGGCGACGTTGATGCTGACGTCCTGCGCTTTCGACAGACTCTGACGAGTGCCGGGGCAGTCCGTGCCTCAACGCCGTCTCCTGCAAGAACCTGGTGGGCGACTACGAGTGCCAGTGCATGGAGGGGTGGACGGGCAAGAACTGCGACCAGGCCATCAGCAACTGCGGCAGCCAGTGCCACAACGGCGGCACCTGCATCGACCTGGCCCAGGACTACCGGTGCATCTGCCAGTCGGGCTACACAGGTCAGCGCACCGCGCTCTCGCCCCGCTCCACGCCTCCATGCCGCGCTTTGTCTCTGCCGGATTCGTTATTAGCCGCCATTACGCCGATGTGAAATCGTGTTTTCGCTTAGGCGCTGCACCACTCGCGCCGGCTTACTTTGGCTTCGACAGCGGCGCCCTCCGTTAATCGGCGTTTCCCACCAAAGACCGGCCATCAAGGCCGCGCGGCAAATATAAGCGGTGCAATCAATGTTGACCGGTCTCGTTAAGCAAACAGATCACGTGCTCCGCTGCTGCTCTGCACGGCTGTTTCACACATGGCGACTACGAAGCCGTATAAGTGGGCAGCTTCTGGTGCTCGTTCCTTCGTACCCGCCGGCGTACCAACCAGTTTTGGTTATTTATCGCTCCCCGCGGCGACCCATCCGCAAAGCACGCATATCTTCTGAGAAGGAGGTGCCCTGGGCTGTCTAGCGCGCGAGGTCACCGCGGACTGACCCGGGGGCCACGCTGAGGCGGGTTTGCAGCAGCCAGACGGCGGCCGGACGCCGCTGGTTGCCTCCGGCCGCCGTCATCCGCCGTCCTTCCGAAGCCCGCCCAAAAGCCGCGATTAACCGGCACCCCAGAGCGCTGCAATTCGGCCGTTCGAACGGCCACCCGTGACATCTGGCGCCCGGCGCTTCTGTGAACCGGGCGCCGGCCCGTGTCGGTGGCACGGGCCGCGCCGCCGCAGAGGCCGCCGCCTGACCCGCTCCGCCGGCGCGGTTTCCGCGCGGCATTCGCGGGCTTTGCGGCCGCCCTGCGGACGCCCGGCCGCCGCCGGGCCCGGCGGCCCTCACCACCGGACGCCGGCGGCGGGCGGCTACTTCTCACGCCGGGCGTCCAAACGACCGCCAGGCACGACCTTGCCCGTCGTCGAGAAACGCATGGACCGTAGACGCGCGGGCGCCAATCAGCGTGCGGGGCTCATTAGGCGCCGCCGAGCGGCCGCCGCTAATGAGCCCACTGCAGATCGCTGTCCTGCTAATTGTCTTCTAAATATTTGATTTATCAAGATGAGAAGCTTATTATCGATTCCGCTGGCTTTTTAGATGGTGCATAAATCGTGGGCCTGAGGTAGGAGCGAGCAGTGTAATAACAGCTGGCGTTGGGCGGCGAACCGTGGCGGAATTAGATATCTCGGGCGCTGGGGTCGCGAGCTCTATCTCTTTTCATTGCCCTCATCGGTGCACAGGGGTTGGTCCACGTTTTATTTGCTGCGTCATGCTGTTCGCAAACTTTGCCCGGCCGCCGCTGCCGACTCATCCTCCTTTGAACGTCTTCATTGGTGCTCGTCTCCAAGTCGGTGGCATTGAAGTGCCGCGGCGCCGGCAACGCCGCATGAGGCGCCAGCACCGCGGGCCGGCGGCCGTGTCCGGGCGTCGCGAGCTGACATCCGCGCCGCCCCCAGGCCGCAACTGCGAGGAGAACATCAACGAGTGCCAGCCGAACCCGTGCCTGAACGGCGGCGAGTGCGTCGACCTGATCGGCGGCTTCCGCTGTATCTGCCCGGTGGGCTACACCGGCGTCAAGTGCGAGGTAAGTCCGGCTCGGGCCGATTTCAGATGCACGAGCGAGATCAAGCCGCATGCGTTGCTTTAGTTTCAGGGGTGTTTCGTCAGCCCTCGGCGGGGTTGGCGCGGGTGGATGCACTGGGGGGGGGGGGGGGGGGAGGGGGGGAATTTGAACCCGGACCTGGGCTGTATGCCAGTCTGGACGTGAAGCCAGGAACGCTAGGATAAACTGGTGGTCCCAAGTGGCATGGACGGTGGCGAATCTGCACAAATAATCGTTCATGGTGACAGTGTTTAGACGGCTGGGGAAAAGATCGTCTTCATCACTGGGCAGTATACATGTATGCAGCTCATTTAGATAAATATGCGCATATGGGCCGGGGAGCTTGACAGGGATTGGGTGCGACGCGATTCCCGTGGTCAGTCGGCGCGCTGTCCGAGTGCAGATATCTGAATCAAGTTCGGTTGTCCATCGTGTTGCGCATGTCTACAATCGAGATCGATCGCAGCGCGGCCGTGTCTCTGCGCTCATGCAGATGGTTATTGAAAGCATGTATTGCTGAACTGTTCCGAGAAGCGATGCTTGCATCACTCGCTGATCGATTTGTCAGCCGAGTTGTCACAGGCAAACCGAGGTGTCGCAGGCTAGCCGGCGTGAGTCGTCCAAGTCACAAAGGAGTACGATTTGGTCGTGCTTTTAACCATGGTTGCCTTTTTAGTTTTGACAAATCAGTTTGCACGCGTCAGTGCTTAGTCGGTGTGGTGTGCTGGGTCGGCTGGCCTGTGGGTGCAGTTCGGCTCCGTCCCCGATTCGAAGCCCGGACCGCGGCCGACGCGGCTGGGGCAGCGACTTTTGCGCTAATGAAGACCAGCTCGGCCCGGCTGCTACACTCTATGCAAATCGGTTGGCGCGGCCGGCCCGCCATTGGCTCATTCATAGTCAAAAGTGGCGATGATTGGACAAATCGCGGCTAGCCCCGCCTTCGTCCGCCCCGGCAGGCTGCCAACATCGGCAGTATACCCTTCATGAGTGTTGCCTAATTGCATGCTGCAGTCTAATGTAATGGCGTTCATATTTCTCAGATAAATTTCGAATCAATCGCCGGAACAAAATGGCCGCCGTCCGCCGTTCGATAGCAGTCGTGGGGTCGTTACTTAGGCTGACCTGCGAGCGGAGACCGCAGCAGTCAGCTTAACGTGCGCACGAGATCTAGGGCCGCCCCACTCTCATTGCGAGCCGGGCGGAAATACCAGCCGACTCCGAGTGAGCGCGGTCTGATTAGTCCGCCCGGTTGAGCGGCCCTAAATTCCCGCTAATAACACATGTCCCATTGACGTTGATCTGGTCCGGGCACCCTAACGACGCCGTAGCCGGCAAATTGCTGGGAAAAGAAGAGTAGTTCGATTAAATGCGCAATAAAAATGCGGCGCGGCAGTGGCTGCGGGGCGGGTCGGCGGCGGCGGCGGCCGGCCGTTCAGAGGTCACCGTTATCGTCTGCGGTCGGCCGCCAGCTGGGCTGATCCCCGCCCGAGCTGTGAGCTCGCTCGGCGCCCTGGCTTCGCCGCGCAGCCTCGATCTAAAGCGTCCCTAAGCGATCTGAAGCGTCGAGGCGAGCGACGCGGTACCAGCACGAGCCGCCGCCGAAACAAAATGGCTCCCGCGCGCCGAAGCTGCGTCGGCTGACGCAGTGCCGTGCGATTTCAGACGGACGTGGACCTCTGCAACCCGAACCCGTGCGAGAACGGCGCTTTCTGCTTCAACACCAACAGCGACTACTTCTGCGACTGTCCGGAGGGCCTGCACGGCAAGAATTGCAGCGAGACAAAGGCCGTGTGCCTGGGCCCGCAGTGCAACGGTGAGTCCGCCGCGATGTGTGGCGGCCGGCTCCTCGTGCGCGTCCGTGGTCCGCGCCGCGCGCGGACCTTCGTCACGCGATTGAGTCGCCTCTCAGCATCCCCCTAGCTCTGTCGCAGATTATGCCACCGCAAACGGTGTCCGTAATTTTCCAGCTGCTGCGCCCAATTTGATGTAATCGCGTCTCGCCGGCCGCGGCTCCCAATGAGCCGGAACAGGGGAGCGGCCGGTGCACACTCGGTGCACGTCGTCGCCTCGTCTGTCGTGCACGGTGGCCGCCGGCCGGCCCGCCTGCCGACACCGCGCCCGCTAACAAATGAACCCCGCGCCCGCCAGACACTCCACTATTTACTGATACCGGATATGCAATTGTATGCTAATAGCGCCGTTTTTGCACGGAGCGCGGCGATATTGTCAACAGCCGGCCGGATTCCGCGCGGCGGCCGCTCCCCAGCGGTGCTCTCCGTCGCCGTGCCTCCGGCGTCTCCGGCGCGCCGCGCTCGCTCGGCCGTGCTGTCAGAGCGCCTTACTGCTGCTTAACGGGGCGCTGGGATCCTGTAGCGGCTCACGTGGTTTCTGGAGCTGCCCGGTAACCAGGAGGTCTTATGTCCGGGGTGGTGTTGGACACTACGAGCAGGCCGCCCGCCGCCCGGGATGATTTAGCCGCGTGTTGCCGCGAGATGCTGCGATATCGCACACGACACGCACGTTCTCCGGCGGGCCGCGCGGCGGTCAGCGAGCCGCCGCCGCCGACGCGCCGTTTTTGCCGCCGCGCCGAGCCACGATCGTCGCCGATAACCGTCGGTGGCGCGGGAAAAAGCCAGCCGGCGGCGGCACATTCCGCTCCGCACCGCGCGGAAAAGTGGCGGCGACGGGCGCCGGGCGCGGGTGTCGTCTTTGTCGGGAGCGGTGTCCGAGCGGCCGGCGGCCGGCGCCGGGTCCGCCGGCCCGCCGGACGCCAGATCACCCGGGCTGCCGGCCGGCGCGGCGCTGCTTCCGGCCCGGCGGCGACCGGGTCACCGTTCCGGCCGCTCCTCCCGCCCCTCCGCGGCTTGGTCAGGTCGCCGCGCGGTCGCCACCCACCGCGGCCGGCCGCCGCGGGATGCTGCTCGCCACACGCGTGCGCACGCACGGATCACCCGCGTGGCGTGCCGCCGGCGTGTCGCGGGGAACACGATACGGCGCGCGACGCCGGCACTGCCACGTGGACGTGTGTGTCAGGTCCTCGGCCGGCTCGTTACTTTTGATTTGTGGCCGAGGTGGTGTCGCGCGCGGCCTGCGGTTTTCTGTGCGCTGCTCGTTCGCACCCTTTGGTAATATCGACGAGGCTCCGGACGGGTCAGGCTGCGGCAGTCGAAGAAAGGGGACATTGGTGGCGCGTTTGACATAGCTGCACATCCGTTGGCGACCGCAGAATGGATATCACTGCCTGCAGAATGCGCTGGTAAATGGCCGGCCGTATTATGCGCTTAATTTACGACAATGGCGCGGCAAAATTTATCGCGAGTTGTAAGTGCTTAATTGCACCACACCTGAACACGTCCTTGATGGTTGTGAAGAATTTCTCCCTCTCTAATCTTGCACTGAAGGCACCGAGCCCATACCAGTGGAATAAATCAGCTATTGGGGTTACCGAGATTATATTACTGTGTGTGTACGCCAGCTCGATCGCTCACGGCCAAGGGCGCCGATACGCCGTTTAAGCGGACTTGAAATCTGAGGGCGTCGTTTGCGTGGGGTTGACATGAGCCTTCACGTGCTTGATACGGTCATGGATAGCCCTTATAGGCGTGCACTTATTTATGCGCATGGTTAGTTGCAGCTTGGTCCTGATCTAATTCAGGCTGTCAATCGGTCAAACGAATTCCATTCAGTATCACTATCTCGTTGTCATTTTCTCTTCGCGTTGCTCGTTTAACGGCGCGTTTGTCAGTTATCGCGCCTCTGTGTCATGTTTTCTCCCCGGGCGGCCTGGTACGTGCCTATGCCGGTGCTACGGCTGCCCAGAGCCCGCTCCTCCTTGCGTCCCCACGCTCTTGTAGAATCGTCACAACACCCTCTCGCTGTAGCGTCCCGGCACTGCCTCATCTATCGCGCCTGGTCCTGACCTGGTCTGGTCTGACCGGCGGAGCGCACGTGTTCATCCCGCCTGTACGGGCTCCCTGCCCCGCCGCGCCACCTGACCGGCGGAGCGCACATGTTCATCCCACCTGTACGGACTGCCTGCTCCGCCGCGCCACCTGACCGGCGGAGCGCACGTGTTCATCCCACCTGTACGGGCTCCCTGCCCCGCCGCGCCACCTGACCAGCGCCGTCATCCGACAGTGGACAGCTGCATGATCTCATCGTCGGCCGGCGGCGGCCAGCGCTCTGCGTCGCGGCACGTCACCATCTGCGGCGAGCACGGCCGCTGCCTGTCGGCCGCCGGCGGCCAGTTCAGCTGCGCCTGCGACCCCGGCTACACCGGCGGCTACTGCCACCAGAGTGAGTGTTACCCGAACCTGGCTGCGCCGGCGGCTGCTGCCATCAGAGCAAGCGGCACCCAGGCTACATACACATGCAGGCAACGCGTGAAACAAAGCATGAGCTGTGTCGTGACTACCGCGCTCAAACCGCGATGTTGACATGACAAGGAGAAATGGGCCTCCTTGCGAGCTTTTTGGGTCGAAGAAGGTGTACTTTCGATACGAACGGCATGCTATTGGAAATATTATTTGGGCGTTGACTTCGGAATCGAGACAGGTTTACCCGAAGGCATGATGAAAGATTAGTAAAATACATTGGGAATACAAGCTCACAGACATCCTGTGGCGCCATGAAACTCTGACGTCACGGCGTCACACTTCAGCGATACTTTCGGTAGCGGCTAAGTGTGACTTTGGTCAGCACCCACGGTGGTGAGGTCCGTCGGGATGGTGGGGTGAGGGTGGTGGAGGAGGGGGGGGGGGGGGCGTGACAAATAGCTCCCATTGCCCCCGCGCGTCAGTGGCATGGCGCCGTGATCTATAGCGGTGGTCGCGTAGACATGTGACAGCTTTCGAGGCGGGACAGCTGCTTTGGAGGTGCATTCGTAGTGCTGGCACATGCGCTGAGCAAAGCGGCACTTCCGTCGTGTTGGCTGACTGTGTAAATTGAAACGTCGAAGCATCGGGTTGTGCTAGCGGGCGTCACGAAAACTACGATTCCGCTAGCTTTCAATGCCTGGATAGTTTGGCGGGAATGAGATAGCCTTAAATCTACACAGTCGGAGAAAGGATGACTTGCATTCGTGCTGATCCCATGAAACGTTAAGATCGCCTGCATTATACGCGAAGTTGTTGCCGTCCTCGGCGGTGGCACTATCCTTATTACAATGTTTTGCTTTCGAATCGTCACTGGACTGCCGACGCGGACGTGTCGCCACCCGTGATCGAGGTTCTCCCTTTGCTGATGTCATGGTGATGGATGGCAATTTACGGTGGCGCCTATCTCGCAATCTCCGACTGCGGTAAACCGGCCAAGCCCGCCGAACACGATTCTGACACCGCGTGAGACTAGGACAAAAACGGCACTCGAAAAAATGTCGAACCCTGATATCTTGCCTGTTCGTGTTTGATCAAGCAGGGATCGACTAGATGACGTCACAGACATGTAGGTGGTGTGCCTCCCTCGATGTTCGTATGACGTCATTACGTCATGACGTCATTCGCAGAAAGAGGGGAGGGGTAACAGGCGGCTCTACGCCCGTGCACGCGGCTTTGGGGAACTTTGATAGCCTCTTAACGGCGGGCCAACTTATGCGGCTTAGCCTGCGTTCTTTCCGCACTGGAGGTGGCGTGGGCGAACCGTCTGGGCCCAGACGGCGCCAGCGCAGCTCCCGCCTCCGACCTGCCGAGGCCTGACGCGTTATCGGCTGAGGACGAGGCCGGGGTCAGACCACAGCGTCCGCCGTGACCTGCACGAGGCGTCGTCGCCGCCCTGCCGTGCCGCCGCCGGGCGTCACGCACCCACAGGCGAGAGAGCGCGCGCCGGTGGCATGTCGGCACGTCCCCCGCGCGCTAATCCGGCCCCGGAGTCGGCCGTGATTCAGCTGGGAGGCAGCGGGCGCGCGCGGTTGCGGCGGCCCTGCGGTCCAGACGGCCTGGCTGCGGCCGCGGCCCCTGCCGCCGCCGCCGCGCGCCCGGGACCGCCGCCGCAGCTCGTCAGCTACGCTCTGCCTCTGGCCGCTGAGGAGAGTCACGCGCCGGGGGAACGGATGCTACCCAGCGCTTCCAGCCAGGTTCGGACTGACGGCAGTGGATCACGCGCGATCCGAAGTGGCAGATCGCACACGGCCTGGAGTGGACGTCGTGCGCTGGTCTCCGTCAGTCGACTTCTGGTCGGCGGCTAAGAAGCCCTTGCTGACGTCTCGCCGCTACCGCGCCGCATTTCCGCCGCTACAGGCTGGCCAGAGTTCTGCAGAGAACATCTCAAGCCGGTCTTTGAGAACCCGTCCTGAGCCAGGAAGACAGCTTGCTGATAGACCAGGGTCCGCGACCCGGGGACGTTGCGCTGTCGCCGCGTGCCGACCGGACTACACGCGAGGACCCGCACACCGCACCGGGCGCCGCTGGGGCCGCGACCTCCCGCTAATGACCAGTCCTGCGCCCGTGCAGCCCGACCGGACCGGCTCAGGATGCGTGCTGGTCGGCGCCGGCGGTGCGGTCGGCGCTCGGCTGTGCGGCGGGGACTGCTGGCGAATTCCAGTGTCGGCTGCGCTAACGAGCGCAGTCAGCTCTGTCCGCCGAGCGGGGCTCTCACTCCCCCGGCTGCTGTGACCGGCTCCGGGAGGTGACGGGCGTCCCAGCGGTCGCTCGCCACCGCTCACACGCACCGCCTGCCGCACCGAGCCGCTCCCGCCGGCTGATAACGCGGCTGTGACTTGTAGTGGCCGCTGCTCGACCCGGAGCCAGATCTCAACAGCTTTATCACGGCAGCGGCGGAGCGCTTGTCAAACAAACTCGGCTCCACCCGCGCGGCGGACGGCGCGCGCGGCGCTCGCCTGGGAACCGTCACGCTCCCCGCCGCGCTCCCGTCGCCGCGTGCAGGAGCACTCCATCAGCGCGAGGAGCGTCTGTCGGCGGCTCGTGGCCGCGCGGCCGACCCCTCGCAGCTCGGGCCGGCCCGATAAAAGCCGCGGCAACCTATAACAATAGCGCGCGGCCGTAAACCGACGGCGCGCGGTCGGGAGCCCCCTGATTCAGTCATAAAGCGAGCACCGGCCACCGCCCGCCCCCCGCCGACGCCGGCGGGCGGCCGCCTGCAACAGGCCGGGTCCGCTGCGCTAATTGTCCGCCGGGTCCGCCGCGCTTCGTTAGCGGCTGGCCGAGCGGGCGGCAGTGAGCCGGGGACGCGGCAGCGACGGGTGTCGCCATCGGCTCGACGGAGCGGCCCCGGCCAGCTTCGAGGCTGGAAGAGGGCGGTGTGGAGGGCGGTGACAGTCGGTTATGCAGACCAAATCTACTGGCGAATGTCCAGGTCGACGAAATGTGAGCAATGGCGAATGCAAATCGGTGTGGTAAACAAGATGTCCCGTCCTTGCACCGACATTATGGTGATATACAAGGCACACAGCCGGGGGGTCAACAACAGGTTTTGCTTGGATCAACTCAGAAACCTACAAGCCGCCTGTGGCCGCCTGTGACCTTCTTCTGCCGCGGGCTCAGAAGCCACAGAAGCGGCCTGACCCGCGCGGTTCGGCGGTCGTCGGGTCAGCCTTGGTGTCCCCATGCCGTGAGATCGAACCCAATTACCGGCTATCCGGTCGGCGTTTTTGGTAGCGCCAGAATGTGACCGGCCGGCTCGCCTCAGCGGCCGCATCGCTGTATAATTGGCACGCATGCCGCGGATACGTGCTCTAAGTGTCGGCACATCGGCGCCGCTTTAATGACTAAAACAGACGAGATGCTGGACATTGCTGGGGCCGGCCTCGACAGCTGCTGTCGGCCGAGTCGCCGACAGCCATCGGCCGTCCGAGCTGCTGTCCATCAGCGTCGGCGCAAACAAGGGGCGGCGACTGACCACGCTTCCGGACACGCCGTTGGCTTTCGTGTTTGATGGCTTAGAAATGGCTCGTTAATTGGATGTCGTCGGCGTGCTTGTATTAACTGGGACAGGGGCTTGCGTGAGGTTCGACCCGGTGACACCCTTGCTACCCGATACTACCTGCTGCCGTTCTTGCAGCTGTGCCGTTCGGCGAAATTAGCAGCAGTTCATGCTGCATTTGCATGTTTCGGGACACTTTTACTGTTTACTGACGTCAACATTAACGTTTGAATCCCCAGACATGACATGACACTGGGTAAGCTGTTTCGACCAAGCATGTGCTTTCTGTCGTCGGCAACATTCCGGGTATCGGACGTGCTTGGAGAAAAATGTTTGACGCCAGTTACTTTTTCAACGATGTCACGCGGGCGGGCCAGATCCCTGGGAGCGGTCCCGACCGACCCACGGCCACGATCGCAGACTCGATAATGGGTGGACGACAGTGCTCTAACGGCCATGACTGATCATTCGATTATTCATCAACTCACGTGTCTCTCGGGCGATGTGGCTTTGCACTCCGGTGGGCACGATGAGGGCCGGTGGCGTGTGCCGTAAGGGCGGCACGAAGCCGGGCTCGTGATCACGAGTCCGACGCGCCGCCGACTGTCTTTTGCGCCTCGTTGACGGTGGTCCAAGATTATCCTTGCCTCTGGTCTTTGGCGGGTGATTTGGATAGGCAGCCTGCCAGATGACGCGCGGAAAGAGCTCTAAAAAGCCTTATGCGTGTATGTTGTTTGGAGAGAACCACAGGCAAGTGTCTCCTGGCACACCTTGGATCGCTGGGTACGTTTTGTATAGACTATCTCCCCAACTTTCATTCCAACTGTCGACAACTGGACAACCAAACGTCTTTCGGCGCATATATCTTCCAGCATGGGGAGCCCTTTGCCAGAATACTGCTCCGACTCCTCCGCCTGGTCATGTGCCACTAACCGACCCGCCTTTCTTCCAGACATCAACGACTGCAGCAGCGACCCGTGCCACAACGGCGCCACCTGCATCGACGGCATCAACAGCTTCACCTGCATCTGCCCTCTCGGCTGGGAAGGCCCGCTCTGCAACACCAGTAAGCAGTGCTGAAGCGCCCGCCCGCCGCCCGCGACGACCGGCCCTCCTGCATTCCTTCCGTTCGGTCCGCTGCGCGCTCCTGTCCGGGCGACACCTGCCGCGCCCGCCTCACTGCGCGCTAGACCCTGTTCGACACGATCCTTCGCCGTGCACCGCGAGTGTCGCTCGGTCCAGCAGCCCTCTTTTCCGCTCGCTCGCATTACGTCCGGTCGGACGCCCTGGCCGTGCGGTCGGCTGCGCGCTCTCTCGCGCTCTGTCGCGCGGGGCCGAACACGGCCCTGACGACCGGCCTCGGCAGTCCGTCAGAGGCGCCCGGTCGCCGCGCGGGAATGCAGCTAATCTTCTGCCTTATCTGCTGATTGGGACAATCATCCGGTAGCTTTGTTCGACGCCGACGGAGGCCGCTTTCGTCCGGCGCGGCCGGTCATTAGCCGTTTTAAAAGGCGCCACCGCCCGCGGCCCCCCGCGGGATGCGACTCGTGTCCCGTGGACACGGCAGCGGCGCGGATGGCCCCGAGTCGGCAGCCGGGGCCGACCGAGTCTGTCGCTCGCCCGCGCGGTGGCCGCCGAGCCCCGCGCCTGCCCTTATGCAATGCAACCCAACTGGTTTGACGGGCTTCTTTATCTCTCACCACGGAGCGTTTCCCACGCGATAACTTTCCATTCCCATACAACACTTGCTGGCGAGGACGGCTAGCGGGCGCACTGCAAACTCGGGTCAGATTGTGGGCGAGGGTGGCATCTGCACAGTAGGGGACCTTGTCGCGAGACAGCCGTCCCGCGCGCGTGCTTGCGTGCAGTGGGCGGGCCAATCAATTGATCGGCGTTGCTCACCTCTGACCCGGCGCGCGCACAGGGGTCAGCGGGGTCAGCGGGAGCTCATCTGGACTCCGCCAGCGGCTCTTCCGTCCTGGAGATCTTCGGCAGTCGCCTGTCTTGTGTGGCGTGCCCCCGGGCGCGGGGCATAACCGAAAGGGCCCCATAATCGTACTGAGTGCTGTGTTTTCCCACCGTGCAGCGGCGTCTAAACGGGCCGTTTTGCCAGGGACTTGACCCACCACGTCAGGATGCGCCTCGTGGGAGCCGGCCTTATTTAGTGCAGCCGCCGGGCTGCGGGCCAGGTTCGCCTCAGTCTCCTCTAACTGGCTAGAAACAGCGCACGGGCGGCGTGCGGCCGCCGGCGTGCCGCCGCGTGTCGCGTGACCGGCCCTCACGCCGAGCGTGACCGCCTCACGCGCCGTGACTGACCGCACCGTCCGCCTGTCCGCAGACAAGAACGAGTGCGAGCCGAACCCGTGCCGTCACAACGGCTCGTGCGTGGACGCCGTGGCCGACTACGCGTGTGCGTGCCCGGAAACGCGCAAGGGCAAGCGCTGCCACCTGACCGACTCGCACTGCGATCTCACCACGTGCCTGAACGGCGGCACGTGCCGCGACCTGGGCTCCACGTTCCTCTGCCACTGCACGGATGACTGGGAGGGCACCGTCTGCCAGCTGCGCAAGAACCCCGCCTGCAGCACCAGCCCGTGCCTCAACGGTGCCACGTGCGTCAACACGGGCGACACGTACTCGTGCATTTGCCGCGAGGGCTACGAGGGCCGCCGCTGTGAGCACGACATCAACGACTGCAACCCGCACCCGTGCTACAACGGCGGCAGCTGCGTGGACGGCATCAACTGGTTCAGCTGCGAGTGTCCGCGCGGCTTCCTCGGTCCCGACTGTCGCATCAACGTGGACGAGTGCGCCAGCAGCCCGTGCACGTTCGGTAGCACGTGCGTGGACGCCGTCGGCGGCTACACGTGCATCTGCCCGCCTGGCAGGGCCGGCTCCCGCTGCTCGGAAGGTACGTGTGGCTTGTACGGGCCTGCTCCGTTTCGAATTGGGGCCACATGAAACGCTTTTTTCAAGTGCCTGTGTGTTGTGACTTCCGGGATTGGGTTGTTTTCCTCATGACGCCGAGGAACGACGCCTGCGGATCGTTTTCGGCCACAATGGACCCGGCTTTGGTGTGACATTGGTTTGGAGCGATGCTTCGGCTTGCCAGCGGTTCAGCAGCGCGAGCCTGCGTCGGAGAGCGCGAGCCGTGTGGCTGCCTGTACCGCCCTTGTGAAGACCTCACATGGCACATGCTCTAACGCGGCTGCTCGCCGTTGGCAGTGGTGGATGCGCCCGTATCGGGGGCCTCCTGCTTCTGGCGCGGCTCGCACTACTCGGACGGCGACACGTGGCGGCACTCGTGCAACACGTGCCGCTGCCAGAACGGACTCGTCACGTGCACCAAGCTGTGGTGCGGCGCCGGCAACTGCATCGAGTCCATCAACGACGTGCTCACGCTGTCCGAGTGCGGCCCCAGCCAGGTGAGCACCCTGTCCTTCCGCCCCCATCCCCTCCCCCCGCCGTCTGCCGCCGACCGCCGCGGGACAGCCACGGAGCCGCGCTGGGCTGGGAGTGGCCCGGTCTGTCTCGGCGAGCATTACGCTGTCGGCGGTGGCAGCGGCGCCGTAAATATTCATGAGCGAGACATTATGTCGCCTGCAAGTGCAGGGCTCGCCCGCCGGTCACCACTGTCGTCCGCGCCGCCTGCACGGACGCGATGCCTCCCAGGCGCCAAACCCCTTTCTCAGCTGCATACCAGCTTTACACCGTTGGACCGCTTGCTTGTGCATTGAGAACACCTTTCACTGGGCACACGCTGGGCAGCTGTTCATTTAACGAGCCCCTCTACCAGCGGAGACACACGCTCGCACGAGCGGTCCCCGGGCTTTGTCTGGCGCCTCGCCGTCCGCGTCGCGTCGTGACCGACGTCTCCTCCGCGGCAGGTGTGCGTGCGCGCCCCGAGCGAGTCCTGCCTGGCGCCGCCGTGCGCGCCGCTTGGCGAGTGCCGCAAGCTCGGCGTCGGCAAGACCGTCGGGCCGCCCATCAGCCCGGCGCCCACCAGCTGCTGGCCCAACCAGGCGTTCCTCAGCAACTCGTGCGCCAAGCTGCGCGTGCGCTTCGACACGGCGCGGCTGGCGGTCGGCTCGACGGTCGAGTCGCTCTGCGGGCAGCTGCGCAGGCTGCTGGTCGACAGGCTGGCCGACTCGCTGACGGCCGAGGCGCTGGTCGTCATGTGCGACCTGGCGGCCGGCGAGGCCGCCACGCTGGCCGTGACGCTGGTGAGTCGTGACGCCGCGACGATGGCGGCGCAGATTGGCGCCGCAGATGGCGCCGGATAACGGGCGCAGGCGGCGGACGGGATCGCGTCTGGTCTTGGGCTGAGAGCGTTACGGGTGGAGTGCGGGGCTTCCACGAACGGCTGGGTGATCTGGACCGATCGGAAAACTGTGTGTTTTATGATCGCGTGATAGTTAGCGATCGGTATGCGGCGGGGATATCGTTGATGGATGGATTAAAGTGAGTTAGGCAGATTGCTCGCGTCTTGCTGGATATTTTGACGCACGGCAGGCTCAATTGGCTCTCTAATCTCATGTTCTTTGAAACAAGTGCTTGCAATTTATCCGCTCTATTTCCAGCCCAGTGCAGATATGTGATGATACAATGGGATGATCCACATTTTTGGCTCAGTGAGTAGCTCACACCCTGCACCCATGACGCTCTCGTCACTCTCTAACGTGCCCGCCTCCTCCGGCAGTCGACGCCTCGTTCTGCTGAGGTATCCGCCATCAGCCCGCTGGTGACGGAGACGGCGCAGCGTCTCGGTGACCTGCTGAGCTCAGGGCACGGCTCGCTGCCGGTGGCCGCCGCCGTCACCGAGGTGCACACCGAGACGTCGGCGCGCGCCGAGCCGGCCGCCGGCGGACCGCTGCTCACCGTTGTGTGCACGCTGGTCGCCGTGCTGGTGCTGGCCGCCAGCCTGCTGCTGCTGGCCTGGCAGCAGCGGCGCCGCGCGCGCCGCCTGCGCGACGATGCGCTGCGCAAGGAGGAGAACTGCAACAACGTGCAGAACGAGAAGAACCTGCGGCGCTACCGAAACCGGCTAGACAGTGACGAGCCCGAGTGCCGCGCCGGCTGCACTAGCGACGCCTACCGGGACGGCTACAAGCTGAAGGAGCTTGACATGCCGTCGGGCGGCGCTGCAGCGGCTGCTGCGGCAAAACGCCGCGACTCGCTGGACTCGGTCGAGCTGCGGCTCGACTCGCCGCGAGCCGAGAAGCCGGCACTGTACAAGCCGGTGAACGTGAACAATCTGGCGCCGCCGCGGGGCGCCGGGCCCTCCAAGGAGATTAACAAGGAGATCCTGCGGGACGCGGCGCAACGGCAGCCGGCGCCGAGCAGAACGCTGAGCGAGGACTCACCAGAGCTGCACGAGGTGCTAGTGTGATGGCTGGCGCGCCGCCGGTCGGTCGGCGCGAGGGCGCCTGCGCGCCCCCACTGGACCAGTGCAATGCTCGGTGCGCAGGTGCGTTTTGTTTGCGTTTATCGTTTTTGGAAATCAGTTTACGAGCTTAATTGATAGTGATGTATATTTTATTGTTGACGATAATTTACTCTCTCGGTTTTACCAGTCGGAGGAAACGCATTGGCCGGCTCGCTCGGTGCACGTGTTTTTCTGACCAATCTAATCTCAGTTGGGGCGGGGTTCATTTCATGCTGGTGCGCGTGCTCTGGCACGGGCCGTTGTGACTTGCGCGCCGCAGTTGCGCACACCAGCGCGATACCACTGCGCAGAGCTGTGATGATTTTATACACATTTCACATCCGTGTGACATATATCTCATTCGCCATCACTGTAAGATGTACGATAAGAACTGTGCGGCGGACTGGCGTTCGCTTCGATTCTCACTCGCGTTGCCATATGTGTGTTTCATGTGTTTGAGTGTATGTGATCTCTCGCCGCTGCTTCGTGTGGGGGGGGGGGGGGAGGGGCGGGGCTGGCTCATGTGGGAGGTGATGCAGGCTTTGGCCGTACACTCGGATATATTTGTATTATTCTCTGGAGCCTCGTTGGTTCTGAAGCGTTTGCCGAGTTGACTCTCCTCCCTGACCGTGTAGCCTTCAGTGCTCATTGTTCCGCCCTGTTTCGCAACAGAAAACCCAGTGGTGCTCTTTTAACAAGGTTGTACCATTTTCATGAGGAAGTTTGGGTGAGGGACAGGGGTGGGGAGTGGCGGTCGACCGATCGAACTCCACCACGTCGAGGCAGCTCTCATGTGCAAGTCATCGACATTGCAACTATTTAATATTGGTGTAATTGTATACCGTACGTGCGCTGTACAGAGATGAATACACTTGTGAATTAGTCTGGGACGAATGGTACACTGATATACCTCAGTCATGATGAAATTACGTGGGAAAGAGACGAGACACATTTGAGCTGGAGGTATTGAGAATTGGATTACGTCTATGCGAGGATATTCATACCTTTCCGCCATCCATTAAATCCATGTAGTTTGTTCCCCGCTACCGCTCCACTTCTCAACTGCATCCAAATATTCTCACCGAGAGCGAGATCCGTGTCCTTGTGAGATGGAAACAAGCCAGCATTCGCACAGCCGTGCACTTTAAACAGCAGCATTAATGCATTGCTTTTCCGGTATAAGTACAACAGATAACACCTTGACTCGAGGCGCGGTGAGCTGTTTGCTGATTTGAGATGGCAACGTACAGAAGCCAGTGATACAAAATGTGTGCTCAATATGCGGGGCTTCTCTGGGGATGACCATGTAAGCTGTGGCGTGCTATTGTCAGCTTTATTTTAAAAGCTTTTCATCAGTTGAAGTAAGACCCGCTCATACTACGTGACTCCCCAGTGGAACCTTTCAGACTCGATCGGTTTTCACGTTTTGTGTGTTTCCGAAGTGGTAATCTCACTCTGTTGTTACCGCAATGACATTGACTCAGTCAAATGCACACGGTAGTGGAAGAAATCGAGCGTGACCCACAAACACTGCTAACGCCGCCGCTAAGGGCGCTGGCCGGCCATCACAGAGAGCGTCTGTTTTGAGAACCCACCGCCAGACGGCGGTGACCGAGCGCTGAGTTCGTTCTCCCGCCACCAGAGCGATCCAGTGGCGAGCCGGCACCAGCACAATAGGTGGGTGCCGTATCTAACAGCTTAGGCTGAAGGAGTGATGTTCCTTCCAGAATGTTTGTTGTCTTTATACGGAAGTCTGCGTACGTAATACCAGCATTATGTATTATGTTTGTAACACTGACATTCATGACATTAATGTTCCTGATATTAATGTGCGCCCGCCAAGACTAAAGACGAGCCAAGAAATACAAATACACACCGTGAGAAAGACAGAAAATAGCCCAGGGACTGAAACAAGGCCAGGTTAGACGCGCGAAATCAAAGGTGCATTTACACTTCTCTGTTTTTTATGGCAAGGGCGTGTTTTACCAGAATGTCTAGGCATTTACACGATTTATCACTTGTACTTATGGTTTCTAATGGTGTGTACATATCGTTTCCACATAGATCACATTTTTTTCAGATCGTGTTTGAGATGTAACCGTACAACTGTAATACATGTACGAGTAGGATGTACCGTAAATTTACCAGCCCAAAACATTATTTCGATCTCCATTATTCCGACACATTGTATGACTGTCAACAGATTTGACGCAGCCAAAGGGGGGGGGGGGGGAGTGAGGAAGGGTGGGGGTGGGAGAAGGCTCACAGGGCTGTAGCCCTCAGAGTCCGCCAGGGTCGAGGCGATACTATCAGGATTGAGCGCGATTTTCCCGCCACGACACAGTAAAATATCGGCTCACAACAAGGTGATCAAGACGATTGTTTCGGCTTTTCATCTCATTGACTACCACATGGGCCGTGACCTGCCGCCCCATGGTAATTTAGTAATGAACTTAGCGGATAGCCCAGTTAATATGCCCGGTGCCCAACTAAGGCAGCTATTTTCAGCATAAAATTTATATACGCAGTTTCGATTCGATCTGAAGACGCGGTCTGAGCTGGGGCCGTTGAGGACCGCAAGTCCGACACCTTACTTTTTCCGGACCTGGAGAAGAGGCGCAAAAAGCAGCCACAACAACGGAACAAGGCGACGTAATTTTTTTCGCACGCTTTTAATTCAATTGTTTTATACCCGGGACATTTTGAAGTTAAGGTAGGTCAATGCACGGGCCGACGTCAGTCGGAGGCCAAAATATAAAAATGAGGACCTTCACAGCTTGCTGAGGTATGGACAGATCTGGTGAATATCATAGGAATGTCCCATTATGTTTTAAATGTGCATTGACTGGTTTGGCTTCATCTTTAAGCATTTATGACTTGTTGGAAATGACTTTAAGCCAATATTTGGGCAGTGGCCGATTCCAGTGGTAGGAGCCAATTTTCAACATAAACACAAGACCTAAAAACTCTCAAAGTATTGCCGCTGAGTGACTGGGTTCGTATTTCCTGCATCATTGCCAATCAAACACATTCGTAATAGGCTCTGTGGCTTTTGATTCGTAAAGCGTCTGTAAATAACAAATTCAGTAGGTACCTACCTTAAAAACAACTGAAATGAATTATGGACTCTTAACTCGGCACATGAATAAAATGCATTTTTTAAAGTGCATGTCGGTTGACCTAGCCAATGTCAATGAACTGACGGCGTTTAAAATGAAACGAGGAATAACACACGAGACACATTCAAAGAAACTCTGGCGCATGGCCAACAAAGAGGCAAGGGCAAGACACCGGTGAGACAAAAGGTTTATTAGATATACAGGTATAAAGATATATAAAAGGTTTCTCAGGCTAAAATTCGCAGGATTTCGAAAAAAATGGTATTTGCCCCCACAATAAATGTTATTACTGCGTGCTTGCAGAAATGGTGCTGAAAAATCCGCGGGGATTACGTGGTTCTATTCTCACGGTCCACTGACAAAGCTTACCCCACATACTCACAGCGCAAACCAGCTCCTTGCCCCGCGCACTCCCTCCCCATCACCCGCATTCTGGCATCCAGGCCCCTTACCACTCTCTCACCACACAAAGTCAAAACTTGGCATTGGTATTCTCAACCCTCGTTTACCCAGGGAAGTTTATCCTTTCTTTGGAATCTGTCAACGAAAAATATATAGTTGTCTTAAATGGAGTGTCCCACCTGCGAGACATGTTTCCAAAACGCACTGTAGTAAAATCTCAAGACATTCGTCTGACGATAGCGCTGGGAAGTGCCACTGTAGCACCGCCAGGAATAATAAAGATGCAAATCTGGATTATTTTCAGCTCCAAAATACGCTGTCAACGCCTTGTAACAGCCGCAGTACACTTCTTTCCTGCAACTGTCCGAATCCCCGTCGTCGTGATAACCGCCATGGCACCTCCACTGATATGAGAATAAAAGAACGTCTGTGATTGGCTCAGCGGGCGGCAAGGGCCTGTTACTGGAAAGCGCATGTTTGAAGTTTGAACCAGTGCATTGCTATGAACGATGTGATACTCCCATTTCCGAGGCCCGAGTGCACATCAAAAAGAGCCGCTGTGGTAAGTGCCGTAGGGAAGAAATCAAAGCCATAGTATAACGTTTCATTGAATTCTCGGGACAGTAGCTTCATGTTCGCATATGTTTTTGTTAAAACAGTGTTTGAAGCTTTCGCAGCGCTTATTACACGATATACACATGCTGAAAAATTAGTGTATTGCAAACAATTTTGTTGCAAAATCGCAACACACACGTTGGGAAAAGCAAAGCAAGTTAAATTAATTGCTGTTTCGGTGGCAGGCACGACGTCCAATGAGATTTCTTCCGCAAGGACCGGCTACTTCAAATTCAAATTATGTGCTGTTTAGAAGGATTTCGAAAAAAAACAAGTATTACTGATGAAATCGCACGCATCTGATCTAACAATAAGCGAAACATACAAAAAGGTGGCATATTTCCTTCAAGCATGAGCGTCCGCCGCCTCAGAGAAAAAAGACAATGCCGAGCATTGCAGTCTCCACGGGCCGCGAGGCGTTGACCTTGAAGCAACGTAAGGCGGCGGTCAGTGGGCGGGCGAGAATGACCACCTACCAGCAAAAAATACTTCCAACTCGTTACGAAATCAATCGATATACGCGTAGAAGTTATCCTGTGTGGTTTTACCTACATGATTTTCAGATAGACACTCGGAACGGATTACCACTTACAGGGCCACGAACTCGTGTCGCAATGACGTAAGTTATCTCGCTCGTGTTGTGGCAACCGATTATTCCGTGCAGAGAACGTTAAATTCGGAATTGCACAGGTGCATGTAATGTGTTATGGTCAGGATCTGGAGGACATACCGTCCCATCTCGGGGTACCTGGCGGCTACCTTTCAGGCGATGCGGGAACAGCGACCCCACTGGTCCCCTTCCCGCATGTGACAGGCCCTCTGACCAGGACATCTGGCAACGGATCGACGCAGGGGTACTCAAGGATGCAAAAAGATCTCTTACTGGCGCAGGGAGCTCATCATCGGTCCCTGGTTGACAAGGTGCAGTGGACCCCTCATTCCGTATTTGCGCTTCTGACTGACACAGGGCCTGTCTCATTGTGGTTGTGAGCTCTTGCGTCGTCATTTCTTTTACCTGCTTTCATTGTCAAGAGGACACCGATCAGCACAAGAGACCCTTTGACATTCAAGGTCTCATCCCTGTCCCTGTTCAGCGAAAGGTGCCCCTGGCCGATTTGAAGCTCATTGCCACTACAGGGTCCCCTGTCAGACACTGTAGGGTCTTTTCAGGGTCCCGACCAAAGGAACAGGCCTCCTGATTGACTTCGGTCTTACCCCTGCTTGACAAAGGGGCCTCAGGGC